GTTCTGTAGGTGGATGGCGAGTGCGTCACGCAGCTCTGACAGGAATCCTCGCTCAGTGTTACTGTGCTCACACAGAATAACACTTATCCCATTGGCAACTGCATCCAGCACATCATGGTGGGACATCTCTCCTGCCGTTTTGAGAAAGAAAAGTCATAGAGATCATGAATGGTACAGTTCAGGTAACTAGGTCTCTGCAATGTATGGAGCATCTCAGCTAAAAGCTGTGGTGATGTAATGGAATGTAGGCCATAAGCAGAAATGCAACACCACCTGCTCAGTAGGAACATGGAACATTCCTGGCCCAGGGTCCTTTGAAAGGCTCAGCTGATATCCCTGTATGCAGCTGAGTCAAACCACAGAAATGCCTTGCCATCTTTGAGTGGTTGTAAATTCTACCAATTTGGGCAGAAAATAAAAATGCTCAGAGTGATCTGGAAGAGGATGGGGGAAAGCAGTTGGGAAGCCTGAGGGTCACCTCTGCAGGGGTTGCAAAGGGGCAGCAATTCCTACAAGCATGCAAGGCAGCCTTCACATTGCTGAGCCACAGGGAATTGCTGTCCCACTGCTGGAAGAGAGAATGGACTAAGTGTCCCTTTGGCTAGACACACCATAGAGTTTCTTTGGAAGGCTCTGTCGACACTACATTATATTCTCTTTTGCATTAGGGAATTCTGTAGGGAATAGAGGAAATACATGTTGCCAAAGGAGAAACACACTTAAAGCTGCAACTCACTGTCATCAGCACTGATTTTGTGTTGAAATAAATGCGTAAAGTAATGTTTTAATTCAAGTATCTTTCACTGTGCCACACTGCCATTTGATCCATGTTATCTCTAATGTTAGTTTGTCATTCCAATAACTAACTAATTTTTTCTCAATTATAAATAACAGGTAATTCTTTGCAGTCAAATCTTTCAACAGTCAAGCCTCTTATTTTTTGTTGGGTTTGTTTGTTTTTTTCTCTAATGACTATTTTTATAAAAATAATGAAACAGCAGTCTGTTACCTGTGAGATAGAGGTCAGCTTCTGTTCCCTTCAGGACACTGCTCCCAGAACCAGCACACAGAGCAACTTTCTTCAGTGGTGATTCTGCAGGATACAATGTGCCACAGTTAAGCTCCTTCCCCTCTGTTGAACCTTCATGTGTGTATTGCTAGTAATTGTTTCAGTTAACTACTACCTTGATTTTAGAGTCAGTTAACTACTACCTTTGATTTTGGAGGAGGAGACAACATCTGTCAGTTTGAAAGAGTCATGGGCCTATAACACCTCTGACAATACAGCAAAATCCTCTACGATAGGTAGATTTTTTTTCAAGGGACAGGAAACTTTGCAGAAAACTCCAGCACAGAGGCTGGCTGCTGGCAACCTTTCTCCTAGTGAGGTCTTAGTTAGGTTTCTGAACTCTTTAATAGGCAGGCCACTACTCTTTCCAGGACTCTTGTGTTCCACCACCAATAGCTTCCCAACTAATAATGCCACTAAGGCAGCACTTTGCCTCTGAGATATACTGGTTCCTAACTTTCAGCTCTCAGAATGCCAGTCTTAATGCAAGCTGAAAGCTGCTCGATGCCAATAAAAATTGTCCACTTGCTGTGATTGCTAATTCCAAGCTATTACATATATGACAGTGACGTATATTTTTTAGTGCAATTGTCAGTCTAATAAGATTTCTGTCTCTCAACAAATTTACTAGCACAAATTCTACCAGCTGTGCTCCTTGGACATTAGGATAGGTAGCTGGGATTAAGAGGATGTTTACTCCACATCTTACTAATGACTCCACTGTTTGAGTTAGTTCACCTTCTTTATCTTATCTTTCATCAAAACACAGTTCTGTGTTCATGATACCATAAAGGGTCTTACTCTTACAGTGCTCTGAATTTTAACATTCAGTCACAAAAGGGAACATACAATGAAACAGTACACCTTTGTGCCTGATATCCTGGGCAGGAAAATAAAAAATCTAGTCATTATATAAATTACAAAATATTATATCTTTCCTTCAATTTGTTCTGTCTTTTCTTTACCACGTCAGCCAGCGTACTATAGATTCTGATTAAAATACAGATGAGACTTTTCACATGAATGTAAATTCTAAGATGCTGTTTCTTAACAGTGCTTCCTAGTTCTTGGAGGTAAACCTGGTAAGGGCAGCAGTGTTTCCCAGTGCTGTTCACACACTCATGCTCCCTGTGTTCCTGCAGTGCCAGTCCTAGCAGGCATTCTGGCTCGCAGGCCCATTTACCGAGTGTCCTGCCCGCTCCCACAGCTACGCGGACGTGGGGGAGCTGCAGGTGGCCTTTGACACGCTCGATTATGTCTGACAAGGAGACTGGCTCGCTCAGGGTGCACAGGCGTCCCATTCCAGTATGGGGAAGAAGAGGCTGAAAAAAATTTAAATTACTGTGAGAAAGTTGACTCCAGATCCTTGCGTCGCTTTTCACACTTTAACAAGATGAGTATATTTGGTTTGCAGGAGCAACACTGAACTTTACAAAAAAGTATTTATGTGATGTTCTCAAATGTAACATATCAACTACACCAGCTATTGGAACTGATTTAAGAATTAGTACAGACCACATAGATAGTTTCATTGCTTTGGAAAATGTGTGTGGCTTCAAATTCCCGTATGCCAGTATTTTGGAGCACTGGAAAGCTGTGATGCCACTGACTACTGCATTCAGCTCACACAAGTAATACATTCACAGGAAGTAATTTTGTGATTTTGTTACCTTCTGTAGTAAGAGAATCTCGGTCTTGTGATAAAGAAGGCTGTTCTGGGACAATAATGCCACCACCTCCAGCAGTGCTTTCTGAGAGCAGTTGAGACTGACTCGTGTTTGCTCCTCACCTTCAACCCTGAGGAAAGATATGCCTGGTGCTTGTTAAGAAGCTAGATAAAATTTTGGCATTGTAATTACTATATTACAGCATTATAATTATTAGTTTGGGGATTATTATTATTTTATCCCAGTGGCTGTTCTAACTCTGAGAAAGGAAAAAAGGCAGCATTGTAATAGCCTAGACTTGTCTTGGAAGAAACAAATATGAGAATTTAACTCAACTGTCCTCATGCTAAACTTGAGTTGCTATTACCATTTAGCATGAATAGGGACGACTATTCCTTAAGATTGTTGTTCAGTTGCTGAAAAACACAGCAGCAATGCACAGAGGAACAAAATTATTAGAACAGTAAAATACAATTACAGCAACTTATTGTTTCAAATAACAGGAAGAATGCATCATTAGAGAGTGGAGCAGATACCTGGCTGGGAGAGTAGTGAGACAAGAGATCTCTGGGATGTCTTTGATTTTGGACAGCACTGCATCCAGATGCTCAGCATCTGCACAGAATTCTACCCGGTGAGTGCCCTCAGCTGGAGAGCTTGGTGCAGGTGACGGATGCAGTGGGACAGAAGTACAGGTGCCTGAGAAAACAGTACAAGATTGCTGGTTTATAAAGCAGGGTAAGTATCCTAACACTGATTTGGCACATATCTTAAAGAGATGCAGCACAAAGGTACAAATTTTGTACTCAAATCCTTTTTTCCTGACCAGAACTGAGGCTTTTCATTCTCCTGTCTCCATTAGGCACAGTCTGTTTTAAGTCTAAAGAAGCTGATGGATATGTATTATTTGCCAGTCTCAATGCCATCAATTTTATCCTAAGGATTGTACAAAACCAGAAGGAGTTCCTAGTTTGTATAACAGACCGGAAAAGATGCAGCTATTGTAATCCGTGAGCCACAATGCAGGATAAAAATCTAAAATAACTTCACATAGTTTAAATGCTTTGCAAACATTGAGATCTCATACTTTAAAGGTGGTGATTTAAAGTCAGTGGTATCAGAATTGCAACTACAGTGGACAATATATATGCTCCACCAGTTCCAGACACATCCAATAGTAGAGTCATGTATCCAAAACTATTATGTTGTTATCTGGTATATACCACCAAGAAAAATGTCCTAAGTTGTATTTAAGGTTACAGTACCATAAAAATATTAGGAAAAATAAAAACAATCCTCGAATCACACCTGTAAAAGCTAGAAGGCAAATGATGAAAGATCCCACTTAAAATAGCATACATCTTTAATAATTTTAACTTGTTTGTTCTTAACAGAATCTCACCGAGTCCCTTTGTTAGCCAGTTATTAACTCCGTGAGGTATGGCATCGTACGCCGTATGTGGAGAATAAATCCCGATTCTGTTCTCCAAGGCTCGGACCACCAGCCGTTCCTTCCAGGTTTTCCACGTTATTCGCTTGAGTGGTGCGAATATAGGAGGGTGGTAAGAAAGAACGAGGTCTGCTTTCCTCTGCACTGCCTCTTCCATCACCTCCTCAGTGAGGTCGTTAGTGAGAAAAAGGGTGTTCACAGTGTGGGGAGGACTTGGTTCCACCAGCAATCCCACATTGTCCCAGCTTTCAGCCAGAGCGGGGGATGCGAAGTCATTCAGTGCAGAAACGAGCTCCCGGAGGTTCATGAGGGCGCGTACGGGCGGGCGGCCCAAGGCACGGACGCGGTGGAGAGGCGGGCGGAGCAGCAGCGGCACAGACAGCGGCATGCGGGACCTGTGCGGGGCAAACAGGCCGCCGTGAGCCCTGGGAACCCACCGAGCAAACAGCAGCCACGGCCGCCCGGGTTGTGGACGCTGCGCCCGCCCACCCCCGCCACCACCCGGTACCGAGCCCCTCCCCGCCCTGGAGCTCCAGCACACACCGCCCCGCACACACCGCCCCGCAGGCCAGCACCAAACGCGCGGAGCTCAAGCTCCACCCCTCTTCCCGCGGCACGGCCGACCCGCAGAGCCGCACCGGCGCTCCCTCCTCGGCGGCCTCGGGGCGCGGCCGGGCCGGCAGCGCGCTCACCTCCCGCCGGGGCAGCGCTGCGGGGCGGGACCTGCGCTCGGCCCCGCCGCTTCCGCCGCGCTCAGCGCGGCTGGGGCGGCCCCTCGGTAGCGCCGGGAGAGGGCCGAGGCCCGCGGGAGAGCAGCCGCTTCTCCCCGGCGGGGGCTGGGTCCGCATCAGCCCCGGCAGGCTCAGGCGGTCTCCGAGCGCGGCGGGCGGCGGTGCCGCCGGTGGAGGAGCCCAGCTGTTCTGTGCGGCATTTCGGTGGCGGTACCGGGGCAGGGAGGGAGCGGTAGCTCCGGCTGCCGTGCGTGACGGGGAGCGGGGACAGGTGGGTTGAGGTGGGGACACGGGGCCGGGGCTTCACCGGCGAGGGCGGGTTATAGAGGACCTATTGCCGCGTAAATATATATCTCTCGGCTTCTATATAGCCGCGCTTTTATTGCCGGCATTCTAAACACTTTAATTGAAAGTATTACAAAGATTTAAAAAGCCTGATCCTGTGTTTGCCTGCAGGTACCTGTCTGTTTCAAGCACTCACAGCTGTCATCAGTTGGCCCCAAATCACACGTCTCTTAGGTAGTGGCATGTGGCTTTTACCTATGATTTTCTGCCATCTGCTGTTCTGCTACCTGCCACAATACTTGCAAAAACTGATTGCTTAGTATGAATTTTCATCCTAGGAACGAGTGTTTTTACCCTCTTCCCCGTTCTCTAAGTGGTCTTTTTCTAGTAGTTTTTCATTCTTTCTATGCTGTGTAGTTGCTTAATGCAAAAATTTAGCCACAGAGTCACTGGAATGGCACTCCAGAACTGTGTGGTGTAAAAGCATGTAATCAACAAATATTTTAGAATCAAAACCAAATGGGGGTTGGCAGGAAAAAAACCCAACAAAGTTCTTATGTTTACAGGAAATTGCTGTATAGAAGGCTACCTCAGATTTTGATAAGCAGGCATGGTAAGAATAAAAGCACATTTTATATGTTTTCTGAAATGGTCAACTCTTGGAAAGTGAATAGCTTCTCTCTTTCTCAAAGGATTACACGTTTTACTCTGATGCTGTGAGTAATTTGTCATGAAAAGTTCAGGGTTTTCATTTCAAACTTATAAAAAGATACTATGAAAAGGAAAATAGATTGATTTACATCAGTCTGAAACGTCATAATGCTTTCACTTTAGAGAGCCCAGATTTTAATGCTACTTTGGCATGTATTTGATAATCTAGTTTGGTTTCTTTTGCCACAGAAGCATTAGTCTAGTTGCAAGAACATACATGCTTCAGCATATGTAAACCTCTGCACTCAGAGGCTTTTAAAAAGTTAGCAATTTGAGAAATAGAAATAAAACTATATATGTCTTAGACTGATCATACACCTTCTATAGGATCTTCATGGACATTGTGGACAGCTATCTCCTTTACTTGTATACTTTTGGAGCAGTATGCCGGTATCAATGTGATGCTAATTTTTATTAGTTTTGCTGTACAGTTATCCCCACAGTAATTGTTTTTGCATAGTTTAGCACTTTCCATATAAGCACTGTAATATTTATGTCCTGTAGAGATAAATTTGCTTACGTCTCTGGGTAAGCTGATTTTAAATTTTATGAAGGTAACTTACTTTTCTTAAGAACTTATAAGTTAAATTTTGAGATTTACTTATCTGTGAAGGCACATTATACATGCTGCCATTCAGAACTAGCCTTATTAATCAAAAGGCTGCAGGCATCAGTTGCTCCTCTAGTTGTAAAGCAGTGAGGTGTGTGCACCATCCAAAATAGATACAAACTTGATTCTTCACCTTTACTTTCAAGTGACTGAGTAGGCCCTGTTGGCAAATGAATAATGTATTTCTGGAGTGGAGCATGCAACAGGTACTGCATTACCATGGCAAACTTGATTTGTCCTGAAACTAAATGAAACTGAGTGCTTTCTGGTGATTTCACTGGAAATGTGGATTGGTTGTGACAGTAACCTTGCTTATAGCCAAATGTTGAAACAGTGAAACTTGCAGTTTGCACTGCGAACTGCAATGCAATGCAAACTTGCTTACGTTCTTGATGGGACTGGAAAATAAAACAGTGTCTGTTAGTATTTTATTGCTGATTTATTTACTGTTTTCTGCCTTTTGCTCAGGCTGTCACTCTGCATACGGATGTGGGAGATATTAAAATTGAACTGTTCTGTGAGCGTACTCCAAAGACTTGTGAAGTAAGTCACACACCAGGAGTAGGATTGCCTAGTGGTGAAAAAGCAGTAGCAATAGTGAAGCCTGTGGAGGAGGTGAAGTAGCTTTTGCAATTTCACCTTTTCATGTAATGGAACGCCAACATTTTAAGCTGGAGCAGTGTCTGTTCCACTCATGGAACTTGTGCACTCTGTCATACTGCCTGGAGTTTCATGCCTGTTTCTCTTGATAAGGTTTCATTAAGGGGTGCTTCTTTTGAAGTTCCAGCATCTCCCAAAGTGTCCTTTGCCTTTAAGGCGAAATACAGCACCCAGCCTAGGATTCCCAAATTTCCGTGGGTTTACTCATATCCGCACAGACTTGATTTTAGTTGAAAGAGTGAGACTCACAGTTTGTCAGGCACCCCAGTTTGGAATTTTTGCAATAAATTGAAATTGAAATAAAATTCATTTATTTTAATGAAAAAGCTGAGGCATTAAGTTATTGATTACAAAATTACATGTGCCAAATAAATTGTTGAATGGGAATGATATTTGAGAGAATGTCTTAGGCTTCTTGTTTGTTCCTCAAGTCAGACAGCCTTGCACTGAAAGCTTTGTATTCTTTGTGTGTGACACTATCAAAGGAGTTTATTAGCTATGATTAGTTTATGACTACTCTGCAGCAAAAGTCTGGAATTCACATGGTCAGAAAGCAAGGCAGAGGTAAAAGCATTGGTCTTGCCAATGCTGTCATTTTAGTAAGATAATACTATTTTTCGGTTGTTAATATGGTTTGTTTGATTTTTGTAGAACTTCCTGGCTCTTTGTGCTAGTAACTACTACAATGGATGCGTATTTCACCGAAATATAAAGGGCTTCATGGTTCAGACAGGGGATCCATTAGGTAAATTCTTCTGTCTGGGTCTTTCTATTGAAAAAATGTACATAAAAATAAAATGTAAGGAAATAAAAATGAATTATGGTTACTAAAACCAAAATGTAGGTAAAGTAAAAATATAAGAGTTATTGTATTGTTGATAAGAGTTTTTTTATGATGAGGGTTTTTTTTTTTTGTGGAGGGCTTACAGAAGTGCAGGCATTACCCCAGTTTTAAGTAATTATGCATTCTACAAACTTGAGTTTTGGCAGCTATTTTCACTAAATATGATGGTTCTGTTGACTAAAGTAGAAGCAGGTGCTAATGTGCTTTGTGTGGTTTCTGCCTGAAAGGCTGCATCTAAAGCATTTGGGGAAAACGTCCCAGACGGTGTCAGCTGTCTGGGAGAAAAGCTGATTCAGTTGTGTCTGTTCATACTCATACTGAATATAATTTGAGGATATGTCAGTGTTTTGTTCTGCTACTTAATAAATTCCTTATATAGAGTTATGTCTTAGGGCAGTATCAAGAGCCTGCCTCAAACTAATTGCAGGCTGTCTGGACTCTTTGTTGTAAAATACTATAACAGAACATAATTTCAGGGTTTTTCAGTCTGAAAATCCGGTAATTTCTACTGTGGTGCTTCTTTGTCAGGCACTGGGAAAGGAGGTAATAGCATCTGGGGCAAGAAGTTTGAAGATGAATTCAGTGAATATCTAAAGGTATTTATGTGCTCTCAATATGCACTTACATTTTCATTTTAATTTTCTCTGCAATAATTTTCTTTTGGTTGGAGAACAATAGCTTATTATTAAAATAGGAACAGGCATTTCTGTGCTTGGCAAGTGAGATTTGAGAGTTTTCATCACAGAAAACAGAAGTAAAGAGAATTTCTGACAGTATTTTTCATGTACTGGGCAAAGAAGCAGTTTTTCACTGTAAGAGCCATTCTGAGGAGCTAATTACTGATTGTGCTAGAATATATTAGCAACCAAGATTTGTTCTTAATAATGGTATTGAGGAAGAGCTCTAAGTCATAGAGCACTTTGCCCAGGTTAGTTCTGGTTTCACAGATGTGTATTCATGCTGAGGTTTTTCCCCTTGTTCAGCACAGTGTCCGTGGGGTAGTTTCCATGGCTAACAATGGTCCCAACACGAATGGATCACAGTTCTTCATCACTTACGGCAAACAGCCTCACCTGGACATGAAGTACACGGTGTTTGGAAAGTGAGTGATTCAACTGCACGCCTCTGTCAGAGTGTGTGAGGGATCTGAGTATTTCAGGGCACGTGCAAATGCTTGAACTTCTTCTCAGAGTCTGTCATGGATGCTTAATAATCCCTTTCAAAGTACATTATTTGCCACATAAAATGTATTGGTTGTCTTATTTTGTATAATTTGCTTGCAAAGTCCTTGCCTTGTGATACTTGATTGTAAAGTGTTTTGACATACATCAACTGTGAAATATAAAGCATTATTAGAAGGCAATTTTCTTGTGTTTTTCTGGCAGAGTTATTGATGGCTTGGAGACCCTGGATGAGCTGGAGAAGCTGCCTGTGAATGAGAAAACCTATCGACCTCTTAATGATGTTCGCATTAAAGACATTACAATTCATGCCAACCCTTTTGCACTGTAGCCACAGAATGCTGCAACACATTCTGCAGAGAGCAGAGACTGGTCAGATAATTCCCAGATTATGGGGTTTAAAGAGCCATCAAAAAGGGTTACTTCAGCTGGATCGTATCTTTGCTTATTGAATGCAGAATTTTCAGGAGCTTTAACGTTGTTTGGGAGTTGTCACAGAGAAGTCTTCTGCTTCAGAAGCCAGGTTTTCCACAGTATCTTCCAGCATTTTGATTTTTAAGCATTGTTTTTTATACTTGTAAAATAAAAAAAAATTTAATTTTTTTCCTAATCTTTGGTTTTTGCATTATCTTTCTGAGTGATGTTATGTTAAAGCAATGTGCTTTGCTATAATTTCATGCTACCAATTATGTGAAACTTTCTCATGACGTGTCATCTTCCTTACTCACCTTTCTCAAAAGAGTAAAGTAAGAAGTGCAATTTTTCCCCTAGGTGAGAGCAGAGTCATAAACAGATGAAACCTTTCCCTCCCAGAAGATTAAAGAACATATTTAGAGCAGTGTTTGCTCTTGTGCTGCTGTGTTGGAATGATAACCTCTTAAGCCTTTCCAAAAGATAGATGGGAGTAATTTCTTCTGCTTCTGGCACAACACTATTGCTATGAAAGAGTAAGTATTTCTCTCCTTACATAGCTGTTGATTGAAACTAGGTAACATGGATTTATTGTAGCTTGTTTTTCATCCCTTTGTTGCACAAAGACTAGGGGGTAAACACAACAAAGAGCACTGTCAAAAAGGCTGCGGTCACATGGTGTTGAACAAATAAGAGCCATTTTGGGCTTCTTTCCCCAGTCCTCTTTCCACTCAGTGAGCATCCCTTAGCGAAGGGATATGCTTTGTAATCCTTAGGAGGGTCAAGGTCCAGCTGACTTGCAGTCATCTTCAAACCTTTATTTTCCATTTTGAGACTTGGCCTCTTAAAATAATGAGAACTCATTTGCAAGAGAAAGGCAAAGATATTGCCAGGTACAGAATACTGAGGTAATGAGAAGGCTTAAGCAATACCTGCTGGGGACAAAGTTTCTGTATTCTTCATGGCATGTTGTTTTAAGCTCCCAGCCCTTGTTCCAGGCTTAATATGTTTTAGTGTAATACTTCAGTGAAGTAAAGGATTTTATTCTTTTAGCTGTGCTTCTCTCTTCCTTAAAACCAGCAGCAGTAGCAAGTAAAGAGAAGTGTGCAATAGCACACTTGACTGACACTACTGCCATGCAGGAGGCAGGGCATACTGGAAAATTTCCTACTGTGCAAAGAACTGTAAATAATTAATAATTTAAAATTGCACTGAACAGAAAACAATTTCAGGTCTTTTTTTTCTTTTCCTTCACAAAAAATGTGAAATGTGGCAGCACTAAGTATTTTGCTCTCTGGAGGATGCACATTAAATGTAGGGTGTGGGGTGTTTTTTTGGTTTGTTTTTTTTTTTTTTTTTTGTTTGGTTGTTTTTTTCCCTTTAAATTTAATGTGAATTGAAAGGGGAGTGATCCTACTGAGACAAAACTGCAAACAAACTTTGCAAAATTGTATTCTGTCTGTTTTCCTGGGCTTGGATCTAAGCTGGAGAGCAGTGGGCTAGAAGAAAATAATGGTACATGATCCTTGAACAGTGACAAACTTGTAGATACGCTAAGCCGATTCCAGAGGACCACGAACCGTGTCCAGGGCAGTAGAGAGAGGGGACAGCCTCGCCACTGGGGTAAGCAGTGACCATTCCGCAATTCGGAGCTCCCGCCGCCCCCGCCCCTCAGGCCGCCCCCGCCCCTCAGGCCGCCCCCGCCCCTCAGGCCGCCATGTTCTGTGCTGCGCCTTCCCGGGCGGGCAGAAAATGGCCTCGGCCGCTGCGGCGGGGCCGGAGCCGTTCCCGGAGCCCCGGCTCGGGCCGGGCGCGGAGCCTTTCGTCGGGGCGGGGATGCGGGGTCCGGGGGATGCGGGGACCGATCCGGGGCCGGCCCCGCGTCCCCCTCGCTCCGCCCGCCCGGGGCCGGCAGCGGCCGCCGCCCTCCGGCCTGAGGCGCTGCAGTCGGCTTGGGGCTGAAAAGGCTGCGGGTGATTTAGTTCGCTTTTCCTCATGGGGCAGCCTAACTGGAGATGGGTTGAGTTTTATTGTCTCCCACAGAAAAACTTCATTGAAATCTTGAAAAGCCCCCTGGGCAATATTTGCCCTTGTCAAGCACACAAGCCTTTCTTCTTCCGAGGGTAATGCAGCACTGAGGCCTGAGTAGCTTGGCAGGAGTGTCCGAGCCACAGTATGTCTTTAAAATGCTTTTTTTAAAGAAGAGGGTTACAGCTTTAAGTTCCCCTATCAAAAATAATTAATTTGAAAAAATCTCTTGAATTAAAAAATAACTTGGAAGAAGGAGCAGAGAAAAAAGCCAAAAACTGGGATGTTGAGAAAAAACATACTATTTATTATATTTAAATAAATAATGGCTTTAATGGCTTTGAAAATGTGTGTCTGTGGGTTGTAATTCAAAGAGTAAAATATCTTGGTTACATTTGGAGAATTTCAGTCAAACTAATAGTCCTGACAGGGATAAAAGAAAAAGGCCATTTTGCAGAAGGTGCAACAATGGTGGGAATGGAAAGTGCACAGGAGAAAAAGTACTGCAACCACATTTCTGAAACTCCTGGCAGGTAAAAAACTTCTGGACTTCTGGTATCAGCAGGCGTATTTTAAGATTTTATTATTCTGATCAGGTCATGTGATACCAGATTAATTTTTGAATTGAAGGTATTTCAAGAAAGATTCTTCCAGCTTAAAACAAAAAGCTGCCTTCATAGGGGCACTAGAATGATTTTAGTTGCATTTACTGGATTTTTTTTTTTATTAGTAATGATTCATAAACCAATTCTGTGAATGAAAGAGGCCGTTGGCAATGAAAGTTTTGAAGTTTGCAGTCACATGTCCAAGGAAGGGTGTGACACTGGGCATCAAGTAGTCAGGAATCTGGTCTAATGTGACAGCTGGTGGCAAAAGGAAATACAAGACACTTTATAAATGCATACCATCCTAAACCTCCACAGGTGATAGGACCAAGTTTAATTTAGTTTGGTTTCTTTTTTTTTAATTTATTTTAAGAAGGTAGATTCTCATCTATCAGTAGTAATTGAGTGTTGGGTCTGGTGAATTCTGTGGATAATAGAATTTTATTCCTTTGGCTCATATTAGTAGCTGATTTTTGCTAGGATTGCACTTCCTTCAATGAAAATGTATAGTTTGTACATATGCTTTTGATACCACAGAACATGGTTCTGCTATTTGTTCACTGAATATATTTGAGCAGATTAATGAACCATAACCATTAATTGGACTACTTGAAATACAGGCATCACTTTCATGCCTTCAAAATTTATATTATGACAAGCATTTGCTTAACCCCTACTCTAAAATCCAAGGACAAGCTATTAAACTGGATTTTGACTAAGTATCACTTGAAATAGCAAGGAGCTCATGCCAGACTGACATTTTCAAGTATCAGTGAGAAATCTGTAGATTTAAATAATGGATGATGTCGTCCCACTAGCAGGGTGGGTTTTCTGATTTTTGTTACACTGTTAAAAACACTGACTATTGCAGTTGTAAGTTAAGATCTTAAGCCAAAACAGCATAAAGCAAACGTCTATCTTTTATAATTTTTAAAAAATAGCTTCTTGCCAAATACTCATACAAGTTATTTAATCTCAATTGCTTAAAATGGCTATTTTAATTTGGACACAAGGTTGTTTAAAAGCATATATGTGTGTATATATATCTAAAATATAATTATTAAATCCTTTTGCTTTAAGAAAAACATGGGGGTCCTGAAATCATAAAGTAAAATTCAGTTAACCAGTCTTTTAAAAGAAAAACAATTGTAATAATTTGTTTCCTTCCCACCTGCCAATCTGTTCCTTGCCATGTTTTTCTCCTGTAGCATAAATTATGTGAATTTCTGGGGACTGAATTTGAAATTGCTCCTGCTGACTGTTTGTGGCCTGGTGTGTATCTGAATGTCTAAGTCTCTCCCTGCTGAATTAATTTTTCTGACCTGAATTCACTTGAATTTATTGACTGGCTGCACGGTCTTGGTGCTGTTCCAGAAGAGCTATTGAAGGAAAAGATGCAAGAATGCAGAGGATGATGCAGAGGGTGATCTGATCTGTCAGAGATGTATTAAGTGCAAGGTGCATAGAATATTTTTCAGACTTTATTAACTTTTTAGATAGATGTGGTGGGTTGACTGGCTGGGTACAGTTGCCCACCTAACCACACCCACTCTGTCACTGCTCTCTGCAGTTGGACTGGGAAGAAAAAAATGTAACAAAAGGTTCACAAAGTGAGATCAGGGAGAGATTCTCACCTACTACTATCACAGGCAAAACAGACTCAACTTGGTAATAGTAACTGAATTTATTACCAGTCAAAATCAGAGCAGGGTACTGAAAAGTAAAATCTTAACAGCATCATCCTCCCTCCCTCCTTCCCAGGCGGTGCAGGGAGGCAGAGAATGGGAGTACGTTCAGTTTAGCACAAGTTATTTCTGTCCCTGCTCAGGGAGAAGAGTCCATCCCTGGCTCCAGTGTGGGTCCCTCCCACAGGAGAGTCCTCCATGAACTTCTCCAGCACAGCTCCCTTTCCATGGGATGCAGTCTTCAGGCACAGCCTGTTCCAGTGGGTTCCCATGGGATCTCAAGTCTAGCAGGAAACCTGCTCCAGTGGGTTCCTCTCTACAGCTCCACAGGTCCCTGCCTGCTCCAGAGCAGGTTTCCCCTGGAGTCACAGCCTTTCTTCAGGCATCCACCTGCTCCAGTGTGGTGTCTTCCACGGGCTGTAGGTGGATCTCTGGATCCCTGTGCAGGGGATCCTCCCTGGGCTGCAGGGGCACAGCTGCCTCACCACGGGCTGCACCACGTGCTGCAGGGGAATCTTGGCTCCTGCACCTGGGGCACCTCCTGCCCTTCCTTCTCCACTGACCTTGGCTGTTCCTCTAGTTCTCTTCCTCATATTCTCACCATTCTCTGAGTGCAACGTGCGTATTTTTCACTTTTTTCACTGTAAATGTGCCTTGATGAGTGTTGTCCAGTAACAGTTGTCCATGTAGGTATTTACAGTTTAAACAAGAATAGTCTAGAATAGCTTCTGTGGTAATTCTTAAATCTGTTTTACTTTGCTTTGCCTTTTTAATAGCATATATAAATACCATGGGGCTTTTTATTTCTAGGAACAATAAGGTACAATGTATGTTTTCAGAATTGATATATGAAATGTTAGTCTTTTTTTTTTGCATAGATG